CCATCTTGTTTGTTCTTTACTTCCATTTTTCCATGAGCTTTTTGAAGCCCCTTCATGCATGTTTGTCTGTGTGTGTATCTATATAACAACTTTAATGAAAAAAATTCACATACTATAAAATTCACCCTCATGTGACTTGACATTCTAGTCTTGCCCTTAAATTTAAATTCAAAGTTTGGAGTAATGTAGTCATGATTCTTTGGGCAGATTGGGAAAGGGTGTTCTCCAGTGGGTCGCTGCCAGGGCATCTGGCTTGGCAAGACAAGCCCAGGTTGGATGTTGGCCCTGCTCACACCTCCAGCCAGGTGCCATGTGCCTTGCACAACTTGCCCAGCCACCTGCATGGCGCACCCTTCTCACCCCCTCCCATCCCCACTTGCCCTAACACAAATTTTGGAAGTTCCTTGTTATGCAGTAATTTGAAACTTATGATAATGATGTCAGTGACAAAGTCCAGTGTTTGTGTGTGAGTTGTTGCATGGACCCGGAATTGTAACCTGTTGGACCTGCTACTGGGCATTATCATGTGGGAGTCTGACCAGAAGTTTGGCTGGGTCGTGTGGTCATTCTGGACATTAGGATGGTGCCAAACCACTGCTGTGTTCTTGGTGTCTGGATCTACAGGCTGGGATGGAAGCAGCTTTGAGACACTCCTGAATATTGACCCACAGACTTACTGCCTTGTGAGTTTAGATCAATTGAACTAAGTCTTTATTGTGCACGTGGTAAAATTCTAGGGCTTACAGGGCTAATGTTTTCCCAATTCTGAAATCAGTCGGCTATGAGAATTTTCTCCAGGCATAAAAACCAAGTGTGAAGAAAGACTTTAATGTAGGAAGCTTTTCATAACCTTATGTGTTCAATCTTAAACTCCAGTATCTTTTATCTGGTGTCTTACTGTAGGATAAGCACTGGCCTGCTAACCACAAAATCAGTGATTCAAATCCACATCTGCTCCCTTAGAAACCCTATACAGAGTCACTATGAATTGTCACTATACTAAATAACAGCAGTATCTCTTACATAGGAGCCCTGGGGGCTGCTACCCAAAAAGTCAGCCAGCAGTTTGAACCCCCTGGCCACTTTGCAAGAGAACGACGAAGCTGTTTGCTCCTGTAAGGAAACTCGATGAAGCAGTTCTGCTCTGCCGTCTAGGGTCACTGTGCGCTGGAATTGACAACACTGGTCTTGGTCTTGGTGTTTGTTTATTTGTTTGTTTTATGATGGGAGCAGTTTGGGGTTTTTATTGTGGATGACAGATTTACTTTCTTTTTTACCTTTTTTTTTTATTGTTCACATGTTAAGTGTTGTCAAGTCAGTTCTGAATTATAGCATCCTTGT